ACTCGGTAGTGTGGCTCATCAGTATTGTCAATGGAGGTAGTCCACACCTGTGCCTTGCCTTTGTGAATAATTACTCAACATATTTAAAGTCAAATGTTTGTAAGATGCTGACCAAAGAACCACGAATAAAACAGCCCGTGGTCCACCTTACGATCATCTATCGAGAGGATGCGATCTGCAGGGTGTAGCCGAATTCCATATTTTCAGTCGCGACTCCGTGTGACATCATTTCTCCACATTGCTGAAGATTGTTTGGTTATCCATGTCTGAATTGTCCTTCTACATTTTCGACGTAGTTACTTTTTCCTGCAATTACATCAGATATTTAAACGTCTCCATATATTGTTCATCGTGGTACCAAGCTTTTCGCACTCATCAGGGGCGCCTGATAGTCGTTCACAGATTGGAGGCATCCTGTAGAATTTGCATTCCTATGCGTCCACCGCCATCTATGTTCATGGATTTAAATGTTAATTGGAAACTTCAGGCGAGGAAAATTCGTGTTTTAGCGACCGAGTCTACTTATTTTTAATGATGGCATTCTGCACCAGGTAGCGGCGCTAAAATTCAGTTTAATATTCTCCAGAAACAGGAAACCACAACCTCCGCAACCAACCTACACTTATGATACTGCATATGCGTACGGTTGACTTTATCACATCTGTTGAATATATGTGAAAATATAAACCTAAAAAGGACAAGTAGATTAAATACGATATCAGTACTGGACCAATTCTTGGTCGCGTATTGTCGGTGAGTTCTATCAGTATGCCTTGGGCGATTTAAGGTGTTGTCGGCCCTAAAATGGGCCAAAATTAAATGACACCAAACATGCATTTGGGAATGCAGTTTACTTTTACTCTCTTGACTACTCACCATGTCCTTCGGGGAAAACAATGGGATGGTCAGTCACTGCCTACACCAAAGATGCATTGTTTTTTAAAGCAAAGATAGCATTAAGCTTAATAATCATTTTTTGATTTGGTGCCGATCATTGTGAGCAAATGCGAGAAAGTCTAACACAATGCTGAAGCGCCAGACAAATTAATACGCTTTTTTCCGAATGTGAGGATTTTTCTCCATCTTCGAAGGTGGCTTTTAGGATATAAAACTACACTTTTCTAGGCGAAAACCGTCCTGGCTTAGAATTTTTGGCCAAAGAAACTTTTATTATCTAATATGAAGGCATTATATCACTCTGAATTTTCGCCTTTATTCAGCTACACAAATGACCTTTTAGGACTTACAGCTGAAAGCAAGAAAGCTAACGTTTTGGCCATTTGACATCTTATTTTTTATGTGCTCGAAGAATGTCCGCGTTATTTGAGGATGCAATGCATGACAATGGCAGATTTCCTTGATACACAAGTTTAATAATAGAACGCTTAATTCCTCATCATCTAGTGGGGTCCCAAATACTTTTATTGTCAGGAAAACGGATAGGATTTGTGTCCGCTAAACGCCCTAATGTTTTCTTCGGCACTGAGTAGTTACCTACGCATGTATATCGTCCTTGTAGTTTTCATCGAAGCAGTCGGGGGATTTCCTTGCTGAACATGATGAAGATGAAGACACAAGTGAAGGAACACTTCAGCAAAGAGAGAAAATCGAGTTCCTAAACAACACTCTGCGTGAGCTCACCAGCACCAACAAAAGTCTCCAGAGAGACAATGCCGACCTAAAATGTGAACTGCCCAGGGTACACAAGCGGATTCTAAATCTGTTGTTTGTATTTTCTTGCATAACTAAATTTCCGATGCGTCTGGAAGACCGAGATTCTTTTAGAATCCTTTGAATATTCACCCCTTCAAACTAAAGTTTTAACACGAATCCTCCTACCCGTGATTTTATCTTCTAATAGGCATAACATATAATGGTAAGATAAAAGCCCAACGCTCGATTCGACCCTGGTGTTTAAGCTCACAGAAAGAAACTTGCTGGGGTTAAGTTTTCAGAATATCCCATGCATATTCTACAGCATCTTATGTTGCAATACGAGAATTCTTGTCACGCCGATTTTTAAGAATCTCGAAGATCTGCACATCTCCCGCCTTGGATACGCCTCTGAATGTGTCAGTTTACTGACGGCCTGCCAAAAAGTTGGTACGGGGCGTGATGGTCTCATATCAGTTGCCGTAAATTTTGCAGATACAGGTCTGAAATTCGTTAACAGTTACGTAAAGCAAAATCGGGTGGAAAATGAGAGACAAAGGGCGTCTGAACCGAACTCTGAAATTACAGCATTTGCCAGTAGGTAGTCAGATATTCTAATCGATGTCACTTGAACCGCCAGTTGAAATCTCATAAGTATCGCCCTCTTTTTGCCCATGTGCCCTGAATGGTGTCCGCTTTCCAGGGAATTTTTAAGGTTGGGTACATGATGTTAAAAGAAATAAGTTTAAAAAAAGAAGAAGGTACGATCACTGGAACAAGGAGTTTGTTGGTCTGACGTTTCGGATTCTCACTCGAACCCATCATCAGAGGCAGTTGCAGATAAATTTCTATATTCGGCTTTCGCCTGGTAATGTCGGAGGAATGAAAATAAAACCAATGGTATAAGCGGTCATACAACGGTATCTCGTTTTGCATAAAATAATACAGTACCAAAACGAATATATTTTACTCGGGCAGAAAACATTCTCTCATTATGATGTGTGGCAGTTAATTGTACGCAAAGCTGTAGGAAATGAACAAGTTGAACTCAACATAGTTAAGTATCAACCGCTTACATGGGCTAGCAAACTTCTTCTCTACCTAAAAGTCGATCAATGTTTGGTTTCAAAATGTTGTCTCTCATTCCACCCTATGAATTATCAAATCTTAAATGTAAAAATTATCTTAATCGCATCCAAAATACATGAACATTGCAATAGTTAGAGCAAAAGGCCGTTTCTGCGCTAACAATGAAAATATATATTTCACTCGAAACGTGCCAATGACATACGAAAAGCGGTACTAATTTAAAAAAACCAAAAACACCACAAAAAGGTTTTTGCGATGAAACAAATCTTCAAGTGGGTGTTAATTTCTTGCAGCGTTGTTCATTTTCTAAAGAGTGGGAATTATGTTGGAATGACTTGCATTCGTTCGCGAAAAGGACGATTTTTTTCAATACTTGTATTCCGATCTCTAGAAACATCTCTTTTTATTCTTATTAGACTGGAACTTAGTTCACTTGATAGCTTGCCTTGGTCCAAACGGCATTCCGCAAAACGTGATGTAACACCTGCTCATTTTTATTCCAGCGTGATCTAGTTCAGTATTAACCCAGTTTTTCTAGAAGCATGCCAACACTAGGGAATCGACAAATTCTTAATCAAATGAAAAGTCTACAGTACAAATATTGAAGGGGGGTTCGTAATTTTTCATTACTTATTTTCGCTAATTTTGTCCAAAAAGTTATTATTCGCCTTGCAACGTATGAGAGATAATAGCACACTTTGGATCTAAAATCACATTCCGAGTTTGTCTTAATATCCAAACGACTTAAATTTGCAATCTTAAGCTATCGACAAAATCTTTTGCCCAAATCAAACTCTTAACAAATCCTTGAAGAAAAGCACAAAACTGAATGAAACAAGTAAACAAAACTGCCGAAAATGACTCTATTCAACCAACCTGTCAGTAGAGCGATCCTTTGTTACGATTTCCATTTTGTACAGTTCTTGTCAAGAAAATGGGAAAGTTATATATGGACATTTCGAAGTCTTGAGACACATGGTCTTTGACTTTCTTTGGGAGGCCGGGCCGGTTACGTTGTTCTGGTCCAAGTGTGGGAGCAATGTGGACATTGAAATTAAAGTAAGCCGAAAGGAGACGCTGAAATCATTAGTGGGGAAAGTGGCCGAGGCTGAAACGGGAAGGGCAACCTAATGACAAATCTGCCGCGTGATTGAAGAAAGCCTAGAATTCCCGCAAAAAACCTGGCTAGCAGGACATGAGGGCAAGTAATACCCCAAACCTACCGGTAAACCCAATCGTAATCTCAAAAGTAAACTTAATCCTCAACGTAATTATAAACCTAACGCTAACCCTAGACTCAACAGTAAAACTAAGTCCAAGCCTACCACAAACCCTTGCCCTAAGTCTAAGTCTGTGCTTAACCCTGATTCAAACACTAACGCTAACCTAAACCGCAACCCAAGCGGTAACTCTACCCTGACACTAACCCTAGCCTTAAACTTAACTTAACCTTAAACTAACTTAAATGAACTTAACATCAATGTAAACTTAAACCGCCATCTAAACCCTAAATCTAGCCGGAACCCTTAAACTTAACATGAACCCTAACTCTCAACTCAATTCTCAGCCAGACACTAATCAAAACCCTAAAACTAACCCTACCTCTAAACCATAACAGCAGGTTGCTCCTTTCCGTTATAGCTTTGCATGCATTCTAACTAACGATTTCAGCATTCTCCTTCGGCTTTCTTTACTCGCGAAGCCCACATTGAGCTTGCACTTGGGACCAGGGCAGTTAACCGTCCCCTATTTTTTTTATTTTTTTAAGTTTTGATAGGTTTACGTGAATAATGAATTTCAAAAAATGGGTCAGTTTTCAAGCAATTAGCGGCATGTAGGGTAAACACGCTCGCCTTGTTAGCATTGCTCCTCAGCAGGGCGGGAGGTTTGTGTTTTCCTTCTCGCATACGTGCGGGTCTAACTCAGACGCATTTTAAACCTGATATGAATTTATACTTCGTCCCCAAAATCAGTAACGAGGGGATAAGTGCGCTTAACTATTCAAGAGATTTATTGTTGGAGCTGTTGATGCGTTGGCAAGCATTTTCTTCATTTAACATACAATTTACCTCATGTTCTTCTCTATTAAAAATTCCTCCCCAGGCTCTATCATAGATAGAAATTAACCCGCTAACATGTATTAAAGATTACCTTCCTACTAATTAATTCTTATAACTTAATCTTACCCGCGGAAGTTTACTTTAAAAACTGTTCATCGGTTCGATGGAATTTCGCTCTTAGGAAGGGAATTAGAACAATTAGTACTGAATCTGGACTGTAAGACCCCCCAATTGTAGACAAGGGCCCTCGTTTTTCTAAACAGGTAAAGCCCCATGGATTCTTTCCTGTGGCCTCTGATGCCATAATATTTACTTGGATTCACTATCTGAAACCTGGTTTTTAGTGGATAAACTCTTGTCTCCCAGTTAGAAAAACGGCTAAATGCCACGTTTGACCGAATCCATGAATTGGAAGACGCGCTTCGAGAGTTCAGGGAGAAGGCCGTCTTGGAGAAGCAGAGATATAAGACGGAAGTTGACCGTCTGAAGGAAAACATGCTAGGTGGGACCAAGAGAGGAGTCAACATCGGTAAGTAATCGTTGTTCTAAATAGACTTACATCCATAGGACATAACAGCAGATCCTAATTACTTAATGGTTTGATGCATTCAGTTGTCGTTTTACGGCAAAACAATGTCTAAAAAGCAAGAGCTTACTCTTTACGACATGAAAATTGGTTTCAGTCTTCATTTAAGGTCTTTTAAGCCTTTAGTTTTGGGATAAGGGATAATCGACAGTGGCGTTTTTAAAACCTGGAAATTCATAATAACGTAAGTGAGTTCGAAATGACGCCCGTTATAGCAAAAAATCGGTCTTGGCAGCTAAAGAATAATTTGTGCTAATTTCATCCAGACAGACATCCCAATCCTTTTGTATATGAAGTTCTTTTATTTATAAATAGGTTAGAATACTTCAGATTACGCTCTGGTATACGGTCTGAGTTGATAAGTTGCTATGTACCCATAGAGGTTGTTGACTAGCATGTCAAATTTGAGCATAGTTTTGGTGGTTTATCATTCGGATTCCAAATTTAAGACAGTAAGACCCAAGAGTTGAATAGGAGTACGTGTATTCCAGGTAAATAGAACTTTACTTACTTGACAGTTGGACCGTCGGCATTCACTCATTCACACGATGAAGTCGGCTGAACCTGATTGCAGGCATGTTTTATAGGCTTCAATAACTAATTTCTGCACAGATAAAGGTAAAACTGAATTATAATTAGGATGTACGGCGTGCGCCGGTGAGGTAAGGAACTCTCTAACGTACCTCAGGCATGCTGAATGATGGTGCTGCTGGAACTATAGTTGGACAGCTAGGAAGCTGAGAAGTGCACGCTTGTCTTATAAGTTCCAATTCCAGTGATCTAAAGTTTGCCTACTGTTTTTCGTTTCAGCTAAGCCCATCCGAGTTGGGGCAGCGAAGTAGAAGGCATCAAGATGGCTCTCAAACCTATAGTTTAGGGACTTTCTGCTTGCGCCGTATTACGATGGCTACAATGGAGGCGACCATTATTAACCCCAAAACTTCGTGTCCAAATAAACCGACTTTGCACCTCTTTCTTCATTTCTGTTTAAGTCAATGTTCCTTGGAAATACTGAAATAGATATGTCGGTAGTAGCTGTGGGGTCGTACTTACCCTTCATCCGACCACTTATATATGCTTGCCACGTGAACCGTCTAGTTTTTTATGTTATGGTGAAATCTGAAATCTAAACGGCCTAACTTCAGAGCATTGGTAGTTCATGTGAATGTTACACATGTACTTCCCGTAAAGTGGCATTTAGTTAAAGAAAGAGGCCCGGGTCAATTGACTTTTCCGACTTTCGTCTCTTCTAGAGGTTCCTGAAAGGGAATACAGAACATCAGAATAATTTTTACATTGATGAAATTTCCTTCCTGGGATCCTAAAATTTTAAGTTGTGTCGCTACTGACAAATTCCTAATATCCGTGTCACGATGGCACACCAGTAGACTGCTAAATATGTAGAAAAGCATACTCATGACACAGGCCTGAGTACCAGTGGTGTTCATGAATAGGCATATAAGCAACGCAACTTTAACTTAAGACTTAGGACTTTAACTTGAGGACTTATCGGTATAACCGATCTCATTGCCCGTTCCTTAGTGTTCACTTCGGTGGCAACGGGGAAAACAAGAAGCAAAAGAATCTAGTATAATAACAGGATAAAATTACTTGACTAAGTATTACCGGTGCAGGAGTTCGAGTGGTTTATCACCGCCCTGCCGTGGTTGACTCCATGACGATGGCAGATGACTAGCATACATCATGGGGACTCGCAATCGAGGAAGTATCAGGAGTTACTGTGATCCAAATACTGTTATAAAAGTATTTCTTGGCTGTTGTGCAAAGGTTTTATAACACTGACAATTTGAATATGTAATTCACAGTTAAAGACGCTTATTAAAAGACGTTTCTTTGATATTCAGGATCTTTGAGCATGTTTTTAGGAAAGAAACCGCTTTCTACTTGTATTACGGCTTTTTGAAGAGATACCAAGTCGTTGTATTAGGTTATACAGCTAGTATATAGAAACAGCGTGACAAAATATCAAAAAAACGCGAGTGAACCTTACAAGGAACTATTAGGTATTGATATAATTAAAAGTAAAGATTATGAGTTGGACGACTTAACCTAGATATATACTGGACTTTGGAGGCTACAATAAATACGCGGAATATATAATTTGTTTGCTGCTTCGGATGTATAGAGGGGCATTATTTAAAACGCAGATGACAGAATCATTGAACAATGTATACACATATTCACCTCCAATAAGGCCGATGCCTGTACTGGAAATGTAGGTTAGTCGTAACCAAAACTTCGTTCACCAATACTCTTACTTCAGGCACTGAGTCCCTATCAGAGAAGGAAATCGATCATTCTGGGGACGCAACTGTATTCGCAGTTTAAAATCCCTGTGAAAGGATAGCAAAACTCGATGACATCGCTTATCAAAATAAAACCGTCTACGTCAAACATAATTTTCTTTGGAATAAGTGAAACGTCTCCGAACTGGCCAAGTCTATAATCGTTAGACCTGACAAACAAACGAGATCGCAGACTTTTGCTTGAAATGTCCTCTAAATAAACCGCATCGTTATTGAATGATTTAAACTAAATTTGTCCCGAGCATTTCGCCAAAGAGGAACTTAGTGGGACACAATTGCTCTGAGAAAACACTTGAAACACTGCTAAGCAAGCTACTTATTATGAGTTTTTTATAACACTTCAGTGTCCATTTAAATATCATCGTATATATCTGTTTAATAACGCTACCCTAAACGAAAATGCAATGACAGACTTATTTCAAAATAAGTCGAAAATTGAACAAATTTCTAGAACCAGTTTAGCAAGAACGGAATTTTAATAAGACGTGATAAGCTTTCAGCTATATACAAGAAAGAATATTGTTACGCATGTTTATACAGAACATATTCGAATTTAAAAGGGCATCTAAAATTAATGGGAAAAGTGCGTACCAATTAAGTAGCTATTTTTACCCAGTGCGATCTTTGTAGGTGACCGGAAAGAATGATATGCAAAAGCCCACATCACGATGTGTCTAAAATACTACGAGATTACGTCACAAGATAATTATTCTTACAACCCTACTTAAGTAATCTCTAATCAAAAATGCATTCCAGAATTTCGGTGAACATTGCATGGAGTAGGCCAGTTATTATACCTGTTCACGGTTAACTTTCTAATAAACTGAAAAAATAACTTCAAAAAACTAAGAAAGTACATCGACACCGCCTACTTAGAAGCGTAATTTTAGAAAATGGAGAAACAATTAGTTAATCTAAAAAGTATTCTCTAAAGTGACAGATGTGACGCGTGTATCGAGTTCCGGTGGCAACCACCCAATCGCCTGCGAGCATTTTCGCGTTGTTCTAGTTGCGCTCCAGTACGCAACGCAGGAAACGAAAAACCAGGTTTCGGTGTTGCGATATTTCAACGTGTACCCAGAAGAAATAAAAGCCCACACATCCCAGTCGTCTGATACACGTATAAACAAAAAGAGAGACGAAGTGACGTCGGATCCAGATCCCAACATCAGACTCCGCACATTACGGATGTGTTGAAGGTCATGGTAAACCTTCTTACGTCCCAAATGATTATGGGTTGGTCACGGCATCCAACTGAATACCGATGCGGTATTCGTATCTTTTGTATGAATTTATTCGCTTGGTCACGACCAACGAAACAATAAACTGTTTTATAATTGTGAAAATTCTCATAGCAATATTAAGAAGACGAAGTGGCGAGCAAACGTTGCTTTTGATGACTTCTCTCCAGACTGGTACAGTTATATGTGAACGGAACGTTATAACTCACATGACCGCGCCATCCTTGCGCATACAGTGGATTCAGGACATCATGTGGACACCGCTGAATCATTTCATGTGATTGATAAGGTCCCATCGAACTACCCTAAGCGACTGGCCAGCGCCTGTTATCAACAGCGGAAGCGGCCGCCATCAGATTACGAAAACCGACCCTATGCGCCCAGAAGAACCTCGTTCAGGCTCTGTGCTTACCGTGGTCAAAGGGTGACTAACCACACAACTTTCTGCGCCATTCCGCTCTTGCCTAGCCCGTATTTTAAAACTAACTTTTGTCGATTTTTCGATCACTGTATCCCGCACCAGCTTCAAGAGATGTCATCGAAAGCAACGTTTGCTCGCCACTTTGTCTCCTGAAAACAATAAACGCAAACGGCGGCCTATACATAGTGTGGATTTAAATGCCACCGATCAGTTTTGGCTAAATCGGTTTTCAAATTCTCTGTAGGTACACCACAATCCGAAGTGGTCCACGGACCTTTGAGATAGGAACCGCAGAGCCCGTGACCCACCAGAACGTTCTTTGTGTAAGGGACCTGACTATACGGCTGGGTGGGAAGTCCATTTAAGGAATAACCAGTGTGGACAATGCAAAAATTTTCATAGGTCCGTGTTATCTAGACCGTTGGCCGTTTGCTGAACTAAATCTAAAAATTTCCTTACCTGGCTCTAATAAGATTAAAAAAGGAAAAGTGCAGAATTTTCTTCGCAGCAAGGTTTCCCCAAACGCGTTCATTTTCAGAATTAAAAACAATAACAATTTAGAGCAGGGTAAAATTTTTCACAAAGAAGAACTGCGGTAATTAACTTGCTCTTCTTGGACAATATTTAGGAGGAATTCATAACGAAAGGCATGTAACTGACCCCTTACATGTCCTAGTCGGCTGCAACGCCACATGTGCCGTTCTCAAAAACGGGTTCTCTGCCTTTAGAACAGTCATAGGATATCTACTGTAGTAAAGGAGAATGGTTAGTAAATAAGAAGTAACCCATTCAACACATCCATCGGCCTTGCGTCAGCCTTTGATGTAATGTAGAGAAATTAACTTTGGCGAGTAATTTATACAATTGGATGTCAGGATAAACCTCTCGCAAGGGAAGAGCCATGCAAGCCCATTCTATGGACGGCAGTCCGTCTATGAATGTTTTTGTCACCATGAACTGGACTAAGCAAGGTGAAACACTAGCTCGAACTACTGAAACGCTCCTCACAGTTTCGTCCCGTGACTTATATTCCTGACTGAGATCTGATTTGAATCCAAACTATCGCAGTGCTGATCTTATGCAACCCACGAAAACTTTCCCGACAAAAATATTACGACCTGAACTCACTGTCGGTGTTCATTTATAGGCAGGAATGAACGCCTCGAACAGCGCAGGCGGCGTTTTAACGTTGGCAACCAAAACAGTCGACCCATCAATAAAAGAGCCGTTATAAAATTATAAGATACCCCTCGTTAATTATGGTATACAAAGTACATCTGAGAATGCAGTCTAAACTGCGGACGATACCTAGAAACATAATGCATCATGTTTTCATCCCATTATCAAATTTATGGCCGTGTGCGAAATGATCCTTGCGCTAGCTTTAACGACCGTCTTGATTTACAAGGAAAGCCGGGGACAACACCTGCCTGATTACCAGTCCGAACCCATCTGATAATTTTTCGTTAAATTTAAGAATTAGTTCACTAGGATGTTCAACTGTACAGACACCCATCTTTGTGACTCGAAAAGTATTAATTGAAGAGGGCTTAGACGTGCTTGTGATAGTCCTGCATAAAAGCAGCAAGATTGACTAAAATGCTTTCCCAAACTATCATAAACTTCTGAAAAAAGTGCGGGTTCAAGACACTATTTATAATACGGTCCTCTTTACCAAGTCTATCACGTGTACAAACAAGGTCGCAAAACATATACATCTGTTTTCCTAACCTATAATCCGCCGTCTTGGTAAAGACTTACCAGATCTAAAATGTGTCCTTGCCTGCTAGCAGAACGCCGTCGCAATGACTAGGCTAAACCGGGTTGGAAGGGATCATGGCTCAGCACGAAGG